AGACTGGGCTGACTTATTAAAAAGTTAAACTATAGCTAGTTCATTGGTCAATCAATTAAGATCTCAGACTGTGAGTGTAGTTTGAAATATTGTAAATGATTTTTCCCTGCTAATAATTGTTGTGATTTGCTGATTTTATGGGTATTTGTGAAACCAACATTCTGCAAAAGTTGCTAGTATTCCATGTCATATGATCCCGGAGAAATTTTCAATGTAACAAAATTACATAATTCACACTGACAACAAATTTTTCTCACTTACATTTAAAGCAGTTTACTTCTGCTCTGTCATCTGAATAATCGTTGGATAAATGGCACACAGCTTTTGTCAATTTTTTTTTACATGGTAACTTTAAAGTTTTTTAAATATTGGTCTCAGGTGAAATATTTAACCTAAGCTTTGGACATTTTAGTAAGTTGTAACGAGCTAAGAACTGAGTAACTAATGACAATATGAAATGGCAATCCAAAGATAACACCAATTTTAGAGTTATTACTAAAATGATTGTTCATCAGTTGAAAGGCGGCACTGAAACCCATTTCTGATGATAGGAATAATTACAGGAAATAGTGAAAACAGACAACGTGTAAGGAATGGTTAAAAGCTTTAGAACCCTTAAAAATGCCGGTGATTAGAAGTCATTTCAACTGTGAATTAATGTCATCAGATTTACTACGTATAATATTATTATTCTCAGATTACTTAGAAACTACAGTGTATAATGATCACATGCATTATTTTAGTTGAACAGAAATTACAGCTTTATACTTGAAATCTGAGACCATGTCAATAATTCTGCGAAGATGGAACTATTTCACTGATATCTAATTTTTTGCGAAATTTAGAAAATCATGTCATGCATCAAATTAAATGAAAATCATTATCATATCACATTGATATAGTCTACAATCTATCACATCACATAGATGTAGTCTACAATCTATCACATCACATTAATGCAGTCTACAATCTATCACATCACATTGATGCAGTCTACAATCTATCACATCACATTGATGCAGTCTACAATCTATCACATCAAATTGATGCAGTCTACAATCTATCACATCACATAGATGTAGTCTACAATCTATCACATCACATTGATGCAGTCTACAATCTATCACATCACATTGATGCAGTCTACAATCTATCACATCACATTGATGCAGTCTACAATCTATCACATC